GCTGAACAAGTATAATACATTGGGATGTGCAGATCAGGCTTGAGTTCAAATCTTTTCATAGTATAATTCTTTCAGAATGAGAAGCATTGAAGGTAGGAAGAGGAGGTCATAGAAAATAAATGTTTACTGTGGAACTTAAACATACACTCAGGGTCATAGTATGTCATGGCATAGATGCTAAACAGATTGAGTATTTAAGAAAAAAGCCCTCATCTCTGACTGTTAAACGTAAAATTTATACTTTCAACATGAAAACAGTAAGCAGTTAGATAATATTCAAACACATTCAAACATCGTTCTGTACAGCTCTAAGACAACAGCACAAACAGCATATTTTATCATCCCAAGGTCTACGAAGATTTGCATCTACACAAGACTTTCCAGGTCACCCTCATGGAAAACTAAAGAAAGTCTATGGATAGGCTCACAATGACGAAACATTTGTGTTAATAATTACATCTAGATATTCTCCATTTATTCACAATAACTTCGTCTCTTACTTTCCCCATGTGCCTTTAAATGTTAATTAAAGTTTCTGAAATGTTGCTTTTACCCATCATAAGTTATGTGCTAAATTACCTAAATAAGAAGAGACAAACATAAGCATTGCATTATGAATATTATCTACTCAACAAACCAGATATTGAAAGAAGGTGAATTAACAGTACATGTTGTAATACATTTTTAATCTCTAGAAAAGCTCTGAGATAACATTGCAAAATCAAAAAGCAACACAAGGAACAGATGCAAAGTCTCATTCCTGACTTTTTTACATATCCAAAGCTGTTTAATGATAAAAGCATTTATGTGTAAAATGGCATTCACTTGCCCTTACTAAGAGTATATATGGAAGAGCCCCCTGTCAATGTACCAGTGTGCGTGTGGGAATGAAACATAAGGATCACCATCTGCAGCTGTCTAATAAGTGTTCTTCAGTGCCTAATGGCAAAGTGTCAATTCAGGGATCCTCAGATACCACAATGCATCATCTTGTCCATGCTAGTCTTACAAGTCAAACATTTCGCATGTGAGAACAGTTTATTTATAATGTTATTCATTGCAGTTGAAATACCAGATATAAAACAGTTACACTACAAGCAGTCTGAGAGCATATACTTAATATAAAATGCACCAATTTCCTCTCTTTTCTAAGAATCAATATTTTAAAGGATGTGCAAAATTTAACGCCTCACAGAACACACCTTAATAACATGGAAAGAATCATTTCATATGCAACTATTTTTAGATTCTTACCTACTGTTGAACTTCTCTGGATGTTTTTCTCTCATGATATGGAATCTGTGGGCAATCGAAGCATCCTAACAGGAAAAAGAAAACCATAAATCTATTGTGACAGGAAAATTGCAAAACGGAAGACCAAAACTGTAAACAAGGCATATTGTTTGTAAGGTGTTTTGTGACCTGTTATTTTCAACAGGAGCAATACTCTTATCACTCAGAAAGCTCACAGGTACACTGTTCCAAGAATGGGATATATCTGAACTTAAAAATTTACTACACTTGTTAGTCTCCATTATTCCTTTTTAGAAATGAGACATGATAGTTACGTTTACTGAAAGTGTCTTCCACTTCTGCATAGCAAGTATCATCCAGATCTGGTGAAGGTTTACAATAAGACCATTCATACAGTTCTTTCTTGTTGGAATACTAAATAAAGTCTATGAAATCTATTCCTTTAGTAAAGGTGAGTGATAGATTCAGCAGAGTTACTTTATACGCATATAGCTTGATATATGCATATGGCCATCCAATAGCTTTCTCTGAAATTTGGTAGAAAATGGGAAAAAATGCCAGAAGATGCCCTATTTGCTATATGTCAGGGTATGAAATCATGTGAGGGGAAGAATGGATTTTTGATATGAAAAAGAGACTTGTTAATTAAATTAAATATACTTTATCAAAATATTTTAAAATGTAGTAAATGATGCTAATAATACATTTAAATAATGCGTATGTGAAATGAAACAGCTGTATAAAATACTTATATGTGTATAACATTTTAAAAAGAATCAAACCATTGTGGTGGTGGGATTGCTGAAAATAGAATATTTGGAACTGATAGGCTAGAATCAGTTTTCACAGCACTTTTATATATCCTTTGCAGGTATGAAAATAACTCCTCATTCCAGATCATGCAATATTTATTTCACATACTAATTCATTAAAAATTTACAAACTGGGAATTAAGAAAGTAAAAAGTTTTTTCATCTTTTAATGTATGTATTAAATGAGGTGTAAAAGTACGAAATCTACCAAGTCTTCATTCTCTTGCAGGAGATAGTAAACACAGAGAAATCCATTTGGATCATGGTTTTATAATTATGTTTTAAAATACTGCATATATAAGAATATAAATATAAGAAGAGTTAGTTCAGTTAGTAAGAAATTTAAATTAATTCCAGTTTCCATGTAAATAGAGTTTGACAAAAACTACAAATATAACCATCACTATAATCAACTATCATGTATACGAAAAAAATACATTATTTACCAACTTAAAAGGTCATGGAAATATAAAAGCTAAGAATTTGAGAGAAGTATTAAATTCAGTATGAAGTCTATATCTAGCAACATTTTAAATTATTTTCAAACTATGAGAATTAGCATTTAGGGGAAAAAACCAAAATTAAATACTTAAATTTTATTGTATTTCTGATTCCAAACATGATCAAAATATTTTGTTTAAAGTAATTTTTATTTAAACCAATCAGTGTTAATATAAATTTCAAATAAGCAAGCATTTTGTGCAGATATATAGGTACCCACTAACATCAAACATGGCTGCAACACTTTATGACTACGATAATTTTTTATTTACTAGAATCTTAAGCAGGGCACCCTCAGGAGAACAGACTGGTCCAACCTTCAGGTTTGGTTTACTGGCTTGTGGGTACTTTGAAAAAATAAATATATGAACTTTAATATCATGTCAAAGGTAAAATTGTTCTGATAGATTGATAACATTTACAGAAACTTTTAAGATTATGAATAAATAACAATAAATAAGACATAATATTTTACACACACTCTACTGTGCTGGTTTTGGCTGGGGTAGAGTTAATTTTCTTCACAGTAGCTAGTATGGGGCTGTGTTTTGGATTTGTGCTGGAAACAGTGTTGATAATACAAGGATGTTTTTGTTATTGCTGAGCAGTGCTTACACAGTCAAGGCCTTTTCTGCTTCTCACACCGCTCCACCAGCGAGTAGGCTGGGGGTGCACAAGAAGTTAGGACGGGACACGGCTGGGACAGCTGACCCCAACTGACCAAAGGGCTATCCCATACCATATGACGTCATGCTCAGCACATAAAGCTGGGGGGAAGAAGAAGGAAAGAGGGGATGTTCGGAGTTGTGGCATTTGTCTTCCCAAGTAACCGTTACATGTGATGGAGCCCTGCTTTCCTGCAGATGGCTGAACACCTGCCTGCTGATAGGAAATAGTGAATGAATTCCTTGTTTTACTTTGCTTGTGTGCGCGGCTTTTGCTTTACCTATTAAACTGTCTTTATCTCAACCCATGAGTTTTCTCACTTTTACTCTTCTGATTCTCTCTCCCACCCCAGTGGTGGTG